GAGAAACTCGATCATCATATTGTAATTGATTCACATAGTTTGGCGGGAAAACCCGATATCAATTTCGGTCATTTATATCATACTTATTGTTCTTGACGATGTAAGGAAAGGGGGACTAAAGCACGATATGTCAATAGAGTTATCAAAAAGAAAATACTTTGGAGGGATATGCCGATATTCGAAAAAGAAGGGGGAATCAAGTTTGGCCAGTTATATCATAAATATTATTGTTTTTGATTTAAGGGAAAGGGGACTAAAGCATTATGTCGATGGAATTCTCAACAAAAAGGGCCTATTGTGGAAAGGGAGAGGGGGTAAGGCAGCCAACAACAAAAAACTACCGGGGAGTCTTGGGGATCCCTAATAAAGGCTCCTTTTAGGGTATAAGCTGGAACTGACGGCTAAGCTGGCTCCGACAACTGGAATAAGATCAACATTTTGCAATTGATTTAAATATTTTAAGGGGAAAGCCCAATATTTGTAGGGGGGAATCCAGTTCGGCCAGTTATATCATGAGGGAAGGATGGACTAAAGCACGTTTGTCAATGTAATTCTCAATAAAGAAACTAGGGGCCTATGGCGGTATGGAGTAGTAGAAAAAAAAACTACCGTGGAGTCTTGGGTGAGATCATCACTTAAATGGTGGCCTCTTTTTTCATAGCTACCTACAGCGTCGTGGTACCCGATTGCGTTTGCGCCCAACTCCTAGTTTTTTTTACTTGATGCATATCGCTTTGGTTCTGAAAGCGGTATTATTTTAGTTTTTATTTCCCTGCATTATTTCGAACTTTCTTGAAGTTATTTTCCCTTCCCGAAATTACAATACAGCCAAAGTCTATTCATTTTCTGTAGGGATATTGAAAGTGCTTGTCGTCCCAGACAAGGAGAAAGAGGCTCTACTCTCAAAAAAAAAATCGAGTGATCACGGACGTCACTCCTCTGGAGAGTGAAAATAATTATAGTGAAAATAGAGTGAACATTCACTCTTTTCTTCTTAGAGAGCACTCTAAAATCAATCGATTTTCACTCCTAAACAAGTGATCACGGACGTCACTTCCAAGAAAGTGAAAATAGAGTGAAAATTCACTCTTTTTTTTAAAGAGAGTACTTTGACAAAACAACCAAAGAATTCACTCATTGCTGCTATGTCAGGAAGTTTCCCCGTTGGAAATAAGCCTTTTCCGGCTTTCATGGGTTATCCTGTCAATGTATCTTCTCTTTTCATTTTGATTTATGTATGCATTCATTGTACTATACTTGACGAATAAAATCAATCAATCAATTCCTTAACCCCTTTGGTAATCCTGCACAGAAAAGAAGAATTCACTATTGAAAAAGAGTGCTGAGCTATGTCCTGAGCTATGAACTTGGTACTTTTCATAAAGTCATTGGTGCTATTATGTCGGGATTCGGGAATTACAAGGCGTACTGATCATTCTTTGAATAATAGCCAGAAATGAAAATAACTGTAGGCCTATATTGATTCTGTGTTCTGTATTTTGCTAACACCTATACTCTCTGTTTGGTATATTCTGCATACTAGTAGCCCAATGTAAAGGCCTTCTGCATCGCTTTCTTTTTTTAAGCGTGCACAAATCACGCATTGTTATTATTTTCTTCTCTCGTTCACTTTGCAGCTTGACCTATTCGTGTATTGAACGTATTTTAAACAAAAGACGAAGATATGCATGCCTCTCCGAGAGAGTGACGGCCATTTTTTCCAATTCATTCATTAATGCTATGTCTGAAAGATCTGAGCAATCTGTTACTTCAGCACGAATATCCTTGATGCCAGCTATTGATAACAGAATCGAATAGCGAAGCTTCGCCATCCAAATAATGAAATAAACCCATTGGTGCATCTACACATGTCGTCCAATGTAATTGAACATCTTTTGCTGTGTTTTTCTTTCTGCTCAACAGAAAAATTATGGCAGAGAATAGTGAATGTTTTACAAGATAATTTCCTCTCTTTCATTAATGAAAATGCAACATCTCTTCCAGGCTGTTTTTCTAGTAGAAACCTCTCCATCACTTCCCTTTTCCTGTTACCATTTTCACATTTTGCCACTATACAACCTAGATCCAGGCCAATCAATGGGGAGGAAATTAAAAATCCCTCCCTGGCTCCATGGCTGGGCGAATTTTTGACTATGTCAGGCAGCTATCATGAAGTGGGGGTATTGATATACCACTTCCTGTCGGCAGTTTAAAAAAATCCTACCAGGCAACGGCGTAAAAACGAGGGGGGGGGATCCCTCATTGATATAAGGGGGCAAGATAGGGAAGACTACCACCGTTATTACCAAAATCACAAACACTCTTTTGGTCAATATTTTAGGCACAATAAATCTAACTCGATTTTTAGCATTATTGAAGAAAGATTTTTCTTCGGGGGGGGGGGGGGGAGGGGGGAGGGGATCATTTTGGTTGTCATTAACTATGAATGATACCCTTAGAATGTCTTTAGAATACATTTAAAAATCAATAAAAGTATGACATTATTACAATTCATGGACTCGACGAATAGTATATAGATTTTTCAAATCTACTAATTCTGAGGCCATAAAACTTGCCTGAAAAGTGGACAAAAATTATGCGAGGAGAAGTGTTTTCAGGTCTTTAGAAATCAATGATGAAAACCCAGGAGCTTCCGGGACTCTGCCCCTGGACCCCACACCGTTAGACGCTGCCCCCCCCCCCCCCCCCCATCACAGAATCACGCATACGCCCATGACATTTAAGTTTCTCATGAGAACTGTGAAACTGTCCGCCCTTTTTCTTGTAGATAGATCCGGTACTTTTTTTTTCTCAATTTAACATTCCTTTATGTTTGTGTTGGTTTATCTGTTTGTGATAGTGCTTCAGTTGAGAAAATAATGTTTGCAAACGTTAGCAACTTTGCATGACAACAAGAAAGACGGTAATTTCTGTAAATGTGTAAGAAACAGAATCTCTGAAACCAATATACAGCTTCAGACAAATTGCAATAGCGCCCTCGCTCAGCAGGCAGCGGAGCAACAGATGGAGAGAAAAAAAGTTCATACTGAAGACCGGGACTGAAGACAGAATAATTATTATTTTAGATACCAGAGTTCACTTTATAACGTTGGAAATCGCTTGTAATGTCTCATAAGAAGTTAAATATAGTGTGAGGCAGGGGCGTACGCAGGGGGGGTGTTTTGGGGGTTCAAACCCCCCCTTTGGTATTTTCATGTATGTAAACCCCCTAAAAAAACCTAAAACCCCCCCCCTTTGGCTTTTTTTTTTTTTTTTTTTGATTTAAAAAAAAAAAAAAAAAAAACAAACAAATTATACCCACGGCTAACCTAAATAAGGTGACCTTACCCCCCCCCCATACGTAAAAAAATGTCAAATTTTGAAATTTTGAGACCAAAAAAAAAAAAAAAAGTGTCCGCTTACCCCCCCCCCCCCCCCCCCACTGAGCGAATTTTCTGCCGGCTGAGTCGTAAAAGTGTCCGCTTACCCCCCCCCCCCCCCCCCCCCCCCCACTGAGCGACTTTTCGGCCGGCGCGATTTTCAAATTTTCGGGAGCAAAATATTTTAAAACCCCCCCCCCCCCCTTGAAAAAATCCTGCGTACGCCCCTGGTGTGAGGGCATTCCGTCCATTCGCCTTTGCATGGACTTGTTTCTTTTTGCTTATGTCTATCACAGATTCTTTGCAATCTCCTTGTACAATTTCAGATCAGACCAATTTTTATGATGGTATCTGTGCCCAGCCCAGGGTAGAGCCGCTGTTATTCCCCTCCCCTGTTTTTTTTTTTTGTTCAGAGACGGCTCCACCCCTGTTTAAAAATATCTGGACACGTCACACACTTTTACGGTGGTCATTCGACTCGTCGGCCCTGATAGGAACATTCAATCTTCAATACAAAAGTATGGATCATTTACCGACCCATTTTCTACATGTGCCTCGCTTAGATTAATACATGATCAATATGTTCTGTTTAAATGGGGGGGGGGGGGGGGCTTGATCCCCAAGTGCCATCTTGAACTGCTTCTTGGTACCAGTTATCTCTCTCCCGTCCCCCCCCCCCCGCCCCCACCCCCAAAAAGTAGCGATCCTGGCACGTACATATCAAGCTATATTCTTGAAAATATAAATAATCAAAATGCAAGGGTCAATTTGAGCCCGTGTACACGTGCTGACATTATTTTGTTGTATTTGTTAAAACCAACTCCTTTCTGAGCGAGAAGTGAATTATTGCTCTCACTCCACCCCCAGACTCTCCTGAGTCATACTACCGAAACCAAAACCAGGCTCTCCGAAACTGCTGTGTGTATATAATCTACATAACATGCTTGCAGGTAGGCAAACTAATGAAGCCCCTTTGAGTTACTTACAGTGTAATAATCAATTTGAACCCCATTTCAGTAGCCCCCCCCTACCCCCAGGCGCGGATCCAGGATTTCTTAGGGGAGGGGGCCCAACTTTTTTTTTTTTTGTTCCCGAAAATTGAAAATCGCGCCGGCCGAAAAGTCGCTCAGTGGGGGGGGGGGGGGGGGGGGGAGGGGGGGAACAGAGCAAATTTTTTTTTTTTTTTTTTTTTTTTTTTTTGCTTCCGAAAATTTGAAAAACGCGTCGGCCAAAAATTCGCTCAGTGGGGGGGGGGGGGGGGGGGGGGGGGGGGGGGGGGGTAGTGAGCACATTTTTTTTTTTTTGATCCTCAAAAAAATTTCAATTTGCACCCCCCCCCCCTTGAGCGCCAGGGGGGGGGCCCAACCCCCAAAAATCGTAAAAAATCACGTGATTTTACATGATTTTTTCTCAAGGGGGGGGGGGCCCGGGCCCCCGGGCCCCCCCCCTGGATCCGCCACTGCTACCCCCACCCCTTTCGCCCACATCCCCTAAATTCGATTACAAAATAACGACTGCGAAGGATTCTGCAAATCTTAGCAGACGACGGCCGAGTCATTTCGCTGGTCCCATCCTCGGTCTGTAATTAATATGGTGGCGCATGTATGCAATAACAAACTGTTGCTGCGACATTGCAATTTGAATTGGCAAAATATTATTTGCGCTCAGTTCTATTCCACGGATCAGGACAACTCGCTATCAAATTTACGACTTCTTGAAAAAGTTTTAACTAATCTAACGTGATCCTGTTGTTTCTGTGGAATTTATAGTCTCAGGTCTTCTTGTGAGTATATTTTCATAATGCAATTTCCAGTCGTATTAAATAAGAGTTGAAAAGTGCCAAAACTCCCGAACAAATCGTTCGGTTTGTTGCCTCACTTCCTGCCGTCTACGCTGGCCGCGCCGCGACTGTCGACTGTGGAGTTAATTGCTAGCTGCATCCATAGATCTAGAGCGCAGCGCCGCGCGGCGAGTGATAAATAACTTCTTTTTTTTTTTTTTACTAGACTAGCTGTAGACTCTAGCGTCCTTGTTTTAGACTTTATAAATTAAGCTTCAATCATACGTAAATGCATAATGCAGTTACATTGTACAGTTCTCTATGAATAATGCTCAGCAAGACAGCAACAAGTTGACAAGTGTCAAGTCAATTTGCAACTCAACTGCGATGCAGGCAATAGACCGAAATTTCTGTCCTCATAAAGACAGGAGGAGCCGACCCTACACAAATCAGAGGCTAACGAACGAAAGAGACAGAAATTTTGGTCTACAATGCTAATAGTTAAGGTTAATCAATGAATATGACTGAATTATTAATTATTATTTTTTTATTTTTAGATTTAATCAAAAATTAATGAACAGGCTCATTTTGTGTTGAATGAAATTGAAGGAGGTTGTTGTAAGTTGTAACTTATAATTTGGGGGAATTTACATCTTAGTTGTAGACTTGTATTTGTAACTTAACTAGGGTCTAGCTAGGTCTAGTTGTAGAAAAATATTAAAACCAACAATTTCTTTCACGCACAAATTCAAGCCATTTTCAAGTGTTTGTTTGAGGGTTTTTTGTATTTGTTTTCAGAATTTAGTTCAAAATTTATTTGACAAAATGAAAGGGTAGATCTCAATTCTCAAGGCATAGGCTATGTATGAGGTCTAGATCTACTTCTAAAGACTTGACACTTCACTTCTTTTAATACCACCGAACATAGTCAACATTCAAAATCCTGACATATTCAAGGGCCGGGCCAATGCAAGGCTCATCAGCGTTTTTTGATAGTATTTTATTTCATGTGTACACCCAGTCCGACTTGTTTTACTCCACCAATAATAATAAAAATAATAACACAAATAAATTTGACTCTTAATTTGTTATTTTATTTTATTTTGTTTTCTAGATGTATTCATTGAAGTTTTCATGATGGCTGGATGGGAACTAGCGAACTCAATAGTGCTCACCCCGCACTCTGATCCAAGGTAAAGTAATAATACAAAGTTTATGAACCACCATCTACATTCTACATCAAGATCTAAGTATTGTTTGTTACTGTTAGCATGCATTCTATATTGTTTGTTTCGCATCCTGAGCTCTTTTACGATTTCTTCTTCTTCTTTGGGTTAAGTCTACCTCCTTCACAGTTGAAGATTCTTGCAGACTGATGAGTGTGTGTGTGCTTACGAGAGCAAGGTGCATGGTGCAATGCTATTTACATGGTGCAAGTAAAAAGTTCCCGGACTTAGTTGCTGCCTCCCGTCAGGCATTGACGGAAGGCATTGACGGATGAGGCACATACTGTTTCTGATGGCAGGTTGTTCCAACTCCTCACAGTCCTGGGAAAGAAGGACTGCTTATGCTGCTCAGTTCTTGAACGGAGGACTTGGTAGCTATGTGCATGGGCAGTCCTGGAGGGTCTTGTGACAGGGTTGATGTAGGATGCTGTGTCGAGTGCTACCAGGTTGTTGTGGAGCTTGTACATCATCACCAGTCTGTAGTTTTCTCTGCGTTGCTCGAGTGTGGTCCAGTCAAGTTGTTGGAGCATGGAGGTCACGCTAGATGTGTTGTTGTTGATTTTTTTCAATAAATGTTATTATTATTATTATTTTTTTTGTTTTTTTGTTTTGTTGTTTTATTATCAATTTATCATGTGTGTAAATGTAGCTCTTTTGTGCACATTTGTCCTGCATATAACTCGGTATATATATTTTTTCCACTGGTAATATCACCAGAGATCTTACTTTGCATGGACTGTTTCGAAATGTAGATAATATTTTTTGTTGTTGATAACCAGTGTTTCATTAATATTATAAGTGCATCCATAGAATTGTCTATTTTATGACAAGCAATTTGTGTGTCTAAACTAAAGAGATTATGCAGCACACAAATGCTCTACATCTCTCTTTGTTGTTGTCCCTCCGCTTTTCGGAGATCACATAGCCTACATTTGAGTAACTGCACATAAATTCAATGTATTTTTTTGTCACATAGAACATGTACCGGTATAAAATAAAAGCTGAGACAAAAAAGCATGGAAAATCTATACAGGACTAACAGGAGAAAGAGGAGATTTAAAAACACTATTACCCTGGTTTTGTCACTTATACATGAACATGTATGAGGCAATTGCTAGCAGGTCCAGGCTGTTTATAGTTTAGGACTTCCTCCTTATCAGTTATTACAAAGAAAATCAGACAACAGGTACTGTACGTGCAGTCCTGTACTATATCCCACTAGTACAAAGAGCAAATTGAAGTGGTGGGTTTATGTTTCCTTCCATTGTTCAATGCTAGTTCAATGGCACTTTGAGTTTGGATGCAAACTTTAAATACACAAACTGCATGTACAGTATTAGTGCACATCGGTATGTCATGCAAATACCTGGACTGTTTACTGTTATTTCATTTAGGTTTTCAATAGTAAAATTAACATTAATTGGTCTAAAAGAGGGTCATGTCGAAACATTAACTCTGCATGAATTACATGTAGCCTGTGGTAGACAAAATATTAAAAATATTTTGAATAAATGCTACTGGGACAGTTAAGAAATGTAACTTTAGATCTTGCAAAATATATTTTAGGCTTGTGTAAACAAGGATGTTAGTTTTAAAGCTTTTAATTCAACCTGATTTCAGGCCCCATCACTTCTCCATTTCAGGCCATTTAAAATATTATATTGAATGGGGCTCTCAAATGTCTGGAACTCTTCATGCTATTTGAGAAAAAGAAATTACTAACTGGTATCCCATATTAAAGTCAGGTGTATTGGGACTAACTACTGTATGCATGAAATTTTCTTGGATTTATGCCATTCAAGAGTGCTGAAAGTTGTCTCAAATTAATACAATGCGCTTCCAGTGTAAAACCATATACTCTGTTTTGATTTAGCTTAATTATGCATTCATTGTGTCAACTACCGGTAATACTAATTTCTCCAACTAATGACAATTCCTCTTCAAGTTACCCTCTTGATGCAGTATCCTAAAGTATCATAAAAGTCTCTTTAGTCCAGACCTAATCACCTTTAACTGAATAAATGTGTAAACACTACCCCTCCTAGTCTGTTTCACACAACCCTGTTGACTCATTCAACACACAAGTTTGCACTCTGATAAGAAAAGGGGAAAAAAAGCCTCGTGACAAAAATCCCAAATGGTGTCACAGGTATATATGTATGTACATGTAGACGGGTTTACATGTACATTTACAATTGTCGTGTACACATATCCTGATACAAGGAATAAGGAAGGGCAAAGTATGATGAATTCATCAAAATTGAACAGACTTTGACGCCATTTTCTCACATGTTGACTCATACATGATATTGGACAACATATTGTAGAACAGCAGAACGAAAGAAGAAACAAAAAATTAAAGAGGAACTAAAATCTAAATTCTAAATATCATTTTAATGGTGACCAAGACATAGTCATGTAGTCAGGGCTTCACACAAACTTTTTAAGAGCGTTGTCAGGATTTAGCTTTTCACAATCTTAAATACATGAGCCCTATAAAAACTAAAAAATTTAACAATAATAATAATAATATTTAATTTTTAGATAGCGCTTAATACAAATATACTATTCCCCCGGGACGTTGACTCAGATTTTGAGTGCCCCTGTGTCCAGGTTGCCTTTTAGTATCAATGCCCTGATGTACTGTAGGCCTACAGTATGTACTGTAGGTATTGATCTCTTTTGGCCCATTTCTTATTCTTCAGTTACAAATTCTACATGGGATGAAATCTACATACATTACATTTTATACTGTACATTTACTTGTATGTGTACAGGGGTGTAGGTGAAATGCTTGTTGATTTCACAGACTGAATCTCATGCCTTTACCTTGTTTGTCATCATTAATCAGATTTGATCATTGACACTCATTGAAGTGCATTCAACTGCAACACTGATCAACCAAATATTACAACAGGTACAGACAGGCAACAAGGTGTTTGTGAAAATAAAATGTACTCAAGTAGTGCAATACGTGCATGTTGATTCGTTTCACCAGAGTCATAATATATTATTCATAGAAATACATTTGAATATGAATGGATGGTTTGCCTTAAGAATGTTCTTTGCACATACAGTCTTTCAAATTTATAATGAAGATCAGACAAGTCAATAAAGGTCGTCTGGGTAATAAGCTTGCAGTGATTTCTACATACCTGTACATGTATAATTGAACAGTATACAGTATTTAATCTAAAGTGTGCTGATTGTGGCACACAGTCCTTTCAATTTGATCAGTGAATTAGTTTCGCTTCGATCTCAAAGCAAGGGAAGCTAAAGGTCACAAAACAAATAGTCGTTTCTAACCTTAGTGAAAAGAATTAGATTACCGAACTAGCCCAGTTATTGGGCATTATATTATGCATACAATGTAAACTCCTAAGATGTGTAACTGTAATTGTAGCTTGTTCATGAATTTAAGAAGAGAAATTTAGTGCATAACATTCAAGTTATAGAGCAGGATTTGGTACCTGCGGCATAGAAGTTGAGAAGGGTTCAGATTTATTATTATTGTTTATGAAATCTTAAATTGCCATTTTTATGCAGGTAGAGAGTATGCATGTCTGTACTTGTATGAGGACCATACCAGATAGTTTCTGTACCAAAAACTGTCTACACCCCCCCCCCCCCCCCCCCCCCCCCCCCTCCCTCCCTCCAAAAAAAAAAAAAAAAAAAAAAAAAAATACAATTAATTAAATGAATGAATAAATTAAACTATAAATTTACAAATAAAAACAAACTTAAAACACCTACATGTATAAACAGACCAACAAAGAAGTGAAATGAAGCAAATACAACCCCCCCCCCCCAGAAAGGAAATCAAAATAGTTTGTGTTTAAAGGTACATAATGATAGGATTTCTATTTTATTTTGGGGGGCCAAACTCTCCAACTTGAAACTAAAGTTGAACGAGTATAAAAGTATATGAAGCTATTTAAGCTGTGTAATGATTAATCACCACTTCCCTGCTTCAAATGTCAAGCGCTTGACCTTGTACCTGTCCTGACACAAAAAATCAATAGTGATTTTCTAGATGAGGTAACCCACTTTAAAGCGTGTGCCTCTTTTTTATTGTCATAACTGTACAGCATTCAGATTTAGACTAAGGACAAACTTCTGTGTAGGATTACCTACATGTACAGTACATGTTCATGTACATTGTAGGTCTACTTGGTAGCCGAGATACAATACAGTAGACTACATTATGCATGAATTGATGTACAGTAAAGTTATGCTTTAAATAATGACTAATATCTGACAGACTATGACCACAGGAAACCACCAGTGCTGCAAGCAATGTTTATGTGCAGACTTTGTTAAATCTAGAAGTTAAACCTAGAATGAACCCATAAAGATATGAATGTTTTTGTGACGTACATGTAAAGGAAAGAGGAACGAATACCACTTGTTTTTACAAAACTATGAAACCATTTTGTTCAGTTTCTAGCTAAGAGGCAGGAATTGTAATATATGACATGAAAAGGATGTACGAAACCACAGATATATTGTGTAGGGTAATTACTGATTCATGAATAACAGACATGTATACTAGTACATGTAGTGTGTATTTTCAAGTTCCTTGAAGCTTTCAGTGTACTTTAAAGTTCCACAATGTATGATACCTTTGTTTGTGCAAATACTAATCTACATTAATTTACTTCTTTTCTTTTTTTCTTTTTAAAGCGGGCCCATTAAGTACCATTTCTAGCACATGTTTTGCAAAAATGCCTTGGATGTAGCTTCATGTACTGTACATACTGTAATCTATGTAAAGTTATTTACTTAATTCTCTCAATTTGTTCTAGACTTCTTGTTTGTGGTTTTTACCTCACGATAAGAAATGATTTATCCAAGATCTCTAATATTTCTTCTCCTTTGTTTTTTCCAGGAGGTTATCCTTTGATCACGATGAGTTTATATCAAAGTACACCACACAGTCCTATCACTACCATCCGACTAGTCCCAGGAATCCCCATGGCTACACCCCATCACCCCAAAGGCCTTCCAATGGGGAGGGCTCCGGGGGCGGCCCTTCCTTCTGCACCAAAGATAATATAGATCAGTGTGTCAGCTACCTAGACCAGGTAAGAAGGGTCTTCTTCTTTTTTCTTTCAAATAAAAGAATATGTTACCTTTTTGCAATTGATATTAAATCAGATAAACATGCATTTGGTTTGAGTGAGAAGGGGGTTACACGTCACTCTTTAAAATGATATGGCTACACCCTTTTGGCTCAATACAGATGAATGTACATTTCATGTGCAATCATGTATGTGTTAGTCAAGTACATGTAAATGTCATAATATTAGGCTAATAACAATAAAAAGCTCCACTTCAATTTGCTGACTTAAGTTGCTCTTCATTGGTTTTATATTTCTATTTTTTTCATTTTTATCTAAAATATACTGTACATGTATATACAAATGTTCCTTTAATTGTGATGAATCATAGGCATACCGGTACATAGAAGGGCTTCATTCTTTTTCACCATTCACTCAGTTCTAAACTTCTAATCTTATTGCATTCTTTATGCAATGATTCTACCAACCATCATCTATCTTATCCAATGAGAGTGCACAGTGCCAGACAAAACCAATCAAAAGCTCTCATCACAAAGGATATAGACCTACATGTATAAGCTGATCATACACAAGTCTGTCTCCTTGTAATATCCTAAGATTTCAACTCTAACAATGAGATGTGAAAAGATGCTAGTGGCTAGCTAGTCCTTGTCTCATTCACGCTACAATGTATGTTGACTCTCAAGCTTTAATAACATACACTGTAGGTGGGGACATTGTTTGATTAAAGGACTTTGTATTTACTCACCCTTTTATATTGTGTTTAATGTTTGATTAACTTAGTTGTAAGTGTCTGCAGGGAATTGTATAATTAAGGTAACTTTCTGGATGACAGGATTGTTTTAATTTAAATGTATTTAACAGGGATGTCATTTTTCAGGCAATAGCCTGAATTCAGGCCCTGGCAAGTTATTTTCAGACCATAGTTTAGGATTTTTTGTGTACAAAATAGCTCATTCTAGGTGATTTTCAGGCCCTCTGATCAGTTCTAACTGGCATCCTTTAACCTTTATTGTTCTTTGTTCCTCATAACAATTGATAAAATGGGTGAAAAGTTCTAATGTTCAAAGTTTGAATTACACCCCATTTTATACAATGTACTGATTAGAAATTCATCAGCTGACTTTGACTTATTCAATCTACAGTTCATGACATTTTGTAAATATAAATATGGTACTGTACAATACATGTTTGTTCATGTAGTAACTAAACAGGACACACACTTTTAATATATCATTTGTTAATGATTAATAATCAAATTGCACAATAATGTAAGGAGTAGTTTGTGTGTTTACAGCGTTTATATGAATGTTAATCGCTAAAACATGTTTGATTTTATAAGTTTTATGATGGCATGTGATGTTGATATAATGAGTCAGATTTTCAATGAAAAAATACATATAGATACATGTACATTAACTGACTAAAAGCAGCAGCTATCTAGATCAAAATCTTTGCAGCATCAGCTGATTATACAGATTTGCATACTTGCACTTGAACTACGTAATAAATGCAATTTGATACAGTTGTGCACCTGTGCCGCATGTGCATGTGTATGTTTTGGTAGTGCCTTGTTGGAACTGTATCATGTATCATCATGAAATGTAACCAGCTTGTACTGTACATTATAGTATTAGTTACATGTAGTAAATGATACTTGATAACCCATAGAGACACTTTAACAAAATACTCAACACTAGTTAAAGAATGCTGATGAATGCCATCATCCTTGATAGCGTTCTACTTCTAACACAGTAGTTTTTAGTCTACCAGCCCATCTATAACCTAGTATTTGCCGCTTTCAAAAGAGAAAACACTCAAGGTTCTATAGAGATCACATGAGAATGAAAGAAAGAGACAGAGACGAAAGTAAATGTAGACAACAGAATAGAAAAGAAATCAGTCTATTCGTTAATGTATTTAGGGGAGAGAGAGAGAGAGGGGGTTTTTTTTTGGGGGGGGGGGGGGGGAAGGAGGTGGGGGGGGGGGGAGGTAATGGGAAAACCTACAACAAAAAGAGCAACTAGAGAGGTTGAGTCAAGTACATGTTTGTATTACCTCATATCAGGTTATTTCATATTTTTACAGTATTACATGTATTTACTTGAGAAAAGAAAAAAATGTTACAAAAGTTATGTTTTTTGCAATTTTGTTTTAAATCATAATTCAATTTCTAATTTTCAGGAATTAACAGCATTGGGTTTCCCTCCACTCTTCATTAAGCCTTCAACTGCTAGCAAGGATAGAGGCAAACCAGAGCAGTTTGATCTTGTCCAGCTTGTAAACTGTGCCTATGAACTTATACAGAGACATCAAAGAAGTATGAAGAAACATGAAGACTTAGAAACCAAGTAAGTTCAAATGGAAGTGACTTTAATATATTTGATAATGTATGAAATACCTCTTTTTGTAATTGTTGGATAAATCTAAAATGAATACCGGTATTCTAATTGCTGATTTAGTTTGGTAACTCAGAAAATATTGCTGTACTCAAAAGGGAAAGTTTGTCTTTAAATCTCAGCTTAAAATTCATCTACGACTGTAGATCTTAGGTTTCATATATCAGTTGATTGATTATGATGTATTCTTTTGTGTTTTACATGTATGTCAACAATCAAGATTAATACATTCATGTAAAGATGTGCCATTTGAAATGACATGATGAAAGAGCTGATAACGAACAAGCCCTGATCATGAACAAGCCCTGATCATAAACAAGCCCTGATAATGAACAAGCCCTAAATTACTATTAATCAACTCCTTATTAAGTTTCAGTAAGTAATACTTCTAGAGCTCAACTTCGCATCATAATTCATGCTTTTTGACTTCTTTACAGGCAAATGAGAACCAGTAGTGACTTGGAACACCTTCAGACCAACCACACAAGATTAAAAGAACAGAACGAGCAGACCCAGAGAGAGAATGTATCACAGGGGGAGAGAGAAAGGCAGCTGACGTTACAACTCAAGAGCTCCCAAGTCAAGCTCAAGAGCCAGAAAGATGAGGTGAGCCATCCATCTAATCCGCTGTTCAGACTGGCAGATTTCATCGTTTGATATTTGTCTTGTCTGAACGTTTTATGACGAAACGTATAACGAGACGTAATATAATGTACATGTACAAAAGCAAAAGGAATGTTTGAGCATTGTCTTGAATGAACATTTGCTGAAGAATCGGGGTCCACTCATGTTTGCGCATTAATTGCGCTGAATGTTTCTCAGCTGTCCTCTTTAGAACTGACTTTTGTAAATGATGTTTCTTTATACGTTACATTTTTCATGTGTGAACAGTGCACACCTGTGTGTGATTTTTTATATACCGGTAGTGTGAGCAGACTACAGTATGAGACATCGTGCACAGTCATGTTTAGTCTGCAATGGTGTTGCATTCATAGCGAAGCTGCAGGGAATAACATTGAAAAGCTCATGCCTATGGCTGACAGCTTTAGAAATCAAAGAGGCTAAGGAGAAAGTGAATGAAAATGGTAAAATGGGGAAAACAGAATATGAGAAAAGTGTAAAGGCATTATGTGAGAGAAGGATTGTCAAGATTGATATTGAGAGAACGGGAAAGCGAGACAGACAGACTGACAAACAGAGTTGTCATAGCCCTTGTAACAGGGCCAGCATAGTAAGAAAAAGACAGGCAGATAGGCAAACAGATACGATAAACAGAAAAGCAGTGAGACAGATGTCATGAATTGTTACAAATGAATAGGATATCGTGAAATAAACAATGTTGAATGATATGAAAAATGAATCAATTTGAATAACTAACAATACCATGAACTGTCTAGCTTTACTCATGTGACGTCTCATTTTTTCCCATTCTAGTATACATGTAGCTTTATAATAATTCCAAAATCAAATCGACTTTTCATGCTACACGTACATGTACATGTACATGAATTAAAAAAGACAAATATACATGGGGATAGCACTTCCCCTTGCTTGTCAATACATCAAGGGCATCTTGCAATGCAGTGAGCAGTGCAGAAAACTGCATGGCATTCAGTTCTGCAACATTAGCATCCGACTTCCTGTGATCTGTGAGTGTCTCTCGTTCCTCACCCCCTCCCACTGCTTGAAACCTGTTAGACGGCCCGTCAGCTGTGAGTGACTCAGTCCCACCACACCAGGGGTTGACCACAAGGGAAGGGTAGTCTGGTTAACCCCTTGGATACAGTATGGGGTATCCAATGTTCCCTTTGTCCATATTTCACTGTCTCGTACTGCATTGTGAAATGTTCAGAAATTTTCTGTGTTATACAGTGTTTAAAACTGGTCTTTAGTGTAAATGTTTTGAACTGTTCTTCATTTTGTAATGTTAGAAATGATCTCCACTGTACAGGTAGTCTACTGCAAAATATATTTAGAAATGTATACTGTACAAGTATTTGCTATGGTATTAAATTCCTCTAAAGCCTGGAAAGTGGGAAGCGTAGAAATCCAATTTACGGTACTCTTGTTACAGTAGATTCCATTTGTGGTGGGGAAAGTTTGTGTGGATTTTTTGGGGTGGTGAAAATTTACATACTGTAGAGTATGTCATGTGTAATGTTAAAATGAAGGAAGCAAGTATTTACAGAATTAATGATTAATTTCTCATTAAGTCGCCAATTTAGGGATGTCCAATACAAATTTCCCCCACAGTTTATGGCCTTTTATTTATGATATGAAATTATGAATGAGTTTCCAGGGGGTACATTTTAAACTTTACTGAACTAATTTAGCCATTCACACTCTCAAAGCATAGCCATCTTTCTGCAAAAGAGTATTCAATGACTGTAATGTTAGCCAATTTGTCATGCTCTAATTATTTAATGTGAAATAGCTCTGTCATGGTGATAGAACATGCAGTGATTTGTAGGTGCATGTACTTTTTTTTTAGCATCGTTGGATTATATTTCATAATTAAACTTACCTGATGTTCGATAATATGAATTTAAAAAAAATATATATGTTATTGTCAGGAACTTAGGATTTGAACACACCACTGAGTAGCTTTCACTTTTTAAAAAATGTTTGTAAATGAAATGCAATTTATTGGTTTAATATTTATATATTGATGCCATTTATTTTGACAGATGAGGAAACTAGAAGGTATCTTGAAACACAGAGATGTACAATTCAAGCATGACCTGAAGAAGAAGGAAAGAGAAGTCAATAGATTAAAGGAGCGTATTCATCAGTTACTAGTCGACAAGAACCAGGAGAGAAGGATAGGTGAGTCATCTATTCCAACCATGAAACTTTTTAGTTAGATTGAACTTAAATTTAATTTTATAACTGAAATGTTTATTTGTTTGCAATTTCTGAAATTGTAAATAATTCATATTTTCACTATAATAAATATAAATATTTCCCCAAGTCTGTGTTCTGTCAGTTTAACTTGTGATCTGTCAGTTTATTCATGTGATTTAAATAATTTGTGGCTTTAACATTTTGCAAATATACATCACTTGTGAAATTTTCAAAAGTGGAATGCACACAAGTTTCTAGCTTTACTGTACTTCTATTTATTGAGGTACCTCTACTAATTTGCAATTGTATTTGTTTGATACTGTTGCATTGCATGAAGATAATTTGAGGCACCATACAAGTATAGTCATCCTTATCCAAAGCAAAAGTATATCCCCTATCTCAAATATGTTTCTTGTTATACTTTCCAGTTGCCATATGGGTTCATGCAATATTACTATGCACTGAAACATCAAATACATGTACCTCTCCTCAATACACTCACAGTTGTGCATATTGAAGCAAAAAATAAAACTCTTTGCAAAGCAACCATATCTGGGCTACCACTGATTAAATTTGTGTCCAAAAAGGTAATAGTGCATGAAAGTTCGAAACATAGTTCTTTAGATTAAAAGTAGCCTATATCCGCTGATTGATTCAACTTCTGTACTGTTTGTTTAATAATTGTAATAGTTTAGCCATGAATGATATAATGCCATCAAACTAGGTGAGGCAAGTAATTGTCGTGTTTGATTTTATAGTCATTCCCTTGTTTACCCTCCTGTAACATCTGTCAAATTCATTGAAATTCTCTCTTAATCTGGGCCGTTGAAATGAGATAACCATCCATACTGCTATAGAAGCAAAGTGAGCTTATCTGCTGTTTTTATCTGTCAATGAATAATGCACTTTATAATATGTCACTCCCTAATGCAATTTTTCTAGGTCAATGTTTTAATCGTGTAATACCCCACTCCACCCTCTAATTTTTGGTTATATATTTCAAAACTCTCATCTCTAGATACTACATGTATGTATGATGTATTATTCAATGTCTCTCTTTCTCCATTTGTCTACCATATTTTCTGTTTTTTTCCATATATCTCTCTTCACTCATATTTTACTCTTTTTGTCTAAATGGCCTCCTATTTTACTTGCCTTTTTTTTATACTCATTGTCTCTCCCCCTTCTCTCTCTCTCCCCCCCCCCCTTCCCATCTCATCTCAAACATGCTTTCCCTCTATCACTCTCTTAATTTCACTTTCTCCTCCGTTTTTCGTTATGTCCATTTACTTATCTTTCACAACCTGTCTCTTTATTTTAATACCTTATGTCCTCTGTCCTTTTCTCTTTACTTGACCTTATCCTACAGCATAGATTCCCTACATCAGATTATGATTTGTGATTTTGTAACTGAAACAATTGATATTTGTTTACAAAAAGTTCTTTAGAGAACTAGCATTGGCACTTGTTCAATGGTGACCTCTGCAGATTAAAATCATTAATTTTAAAAGACAATTTGCCAAATAAAATATTCAGATTACTGATTAGCAGCAGTGTGCTTTGATGGAAATAGTTATGCATCCTATGGAGACTGCTTTATCTTTCCTTTCAATCACCAAATGTATCTAATGTAACTTCACTTGTGCAGTGCATATATATGTAGATGATTCATGATTTAAATTTTAGATATTTCTGTCAGACATTTGCCTTCAGAGATATTCGACAATTCATGGACATAAAGCAACTATTGTTAGGACATAAATTCATAATGTCTTTGTTTAAACAAGAGGTAAATAATTTGTGACCCTCCCCCCCCCCCAAAAAAAAAAAGTTAAAATGATTGATTATCTATGGGCAGTGAACAGTGTTGCCCGTAAAGTTGGAATAATTTGTCTTACCTCTTTTCATGAAAGATTTGTGAAAATATGTTTTATTCTTGATAGATAAAGTTTACCTCTACTCAGAACTTTAATTAATCAATCTCTATGACTTTTTAAATTAATCTATACAGATCACAGAAAATATGAATCAAGAATTAATCGTATTGTCAAAATCATTTCATGAAAAGTTGAAACAAACATTTAAATTCTGACTTTATGGGCAAGTGGGGCAACAGTGTTCATGTATGCCCCAATATAAAGTACACTGTATGTATGGTATTTCCATTATAATTGTCATCACTTATTGCATATTCAATACTGTGAAACGTATGCATCATCACACATGTGCTTCCATCAGCCAAAGTAGACATCAGTATCAAATGGAATTTATTTTCTCTCCATGATTGTGCAGGAATGGATATACTCAACTCATTACAGAGGACAGACGGTAAACGTGGGACATGGAAAACCGATAAAAGCGGTATCAAGTAAGTGATGATGGGTGTTGTATGGCTTGGGAGTGATTTGTTTAGCAGAATGTTTCACAGCAGAGGGTAGTGTCCATTGAATCTTTGCTTAGGAATTTGCGTATGTCATGGAGTGGAAAAAATGGAGGCATTTAAAAATAATTTAGAAACAATTTTGTTGTTTACATGTTTGTTGATTGATATGGTTGATGATGATGAATTATGATGGTGCTAGAACTGCATCTAGATGACACTGTTATGATGCTTTGAATGTTTGTGAAGGGGATGACAATGATATTGATGACAGTTATGCTGGAAAGTCATACGAGGATGGTGATGGCGATAGTGATAGTGATGAATTGCTAATAGATTTCATAAATGTGCAATGTTGATGGTGGATAGAAATAATTTTCATATAAATTATGATAAATGGATGGTGATGTTTATTGGAGACGTTATTGGTGATGGTCCTCAATATGCTTACATTGTACATACATGTACAGTGTACATGTACATTTCTTTTCCTATTTTTTTCTATTGTAAAAATGATTTTCTATTTTTCAAAGAGCACTTTTGAGCTGAATCATTTCAACCTCTAAATTTAACTTAAATGTCTTGCTAAATAAAGAAAGAAAAAAAGAGATAGAAAAAAATTAATTCAACTATGTAAACATAAAAACGTTATAAATAGTATTCTTACAGGAAGACATGTTATTGCTATTGTTGATTTCGAATGTCACACAGTCTTCAAATATTATCTATAATCTCCATCTATCCATGTATCGAGCAGCACCCACTTGGATTTTATTCATGTTTTCAACAAATGTCTGACAGCGATTATTTTTTTCTTCCCCCAGCTGTGATGATATATTTTCTTTTGTGGAAAGGTTAATGGCATTATTCCCTGTTGTCATGGAAATCAAATAACAACCACAGTCATGTGGCAAAAAATGAAATGTCACCGTAAAAGTAGGCCAGCCTTACATTTCCAGGTTTATTGTATTGCCTCAGGGGATGCCATTATTGATGGATTTTACATCTGAAATAAGGTTGTTAACAATTTTTCACATATATATGTGTACATTTAACAATTGTCATTAAAATTTATCAAAAGATATTTACAGACATACATGTAGTGTTCATTATTCATTGATACAAAATTGACATTTAAATAAGGTTATTGACAATTGAAACTTCAATATTTAGCTGCATATTTTAATTCATGCATTACCATAACCATTTACCAGTCGTTCTACAGGAATTATTTTTTTCCCTATATGCACTCTATAGCATTTTTTATTTCATCATTCTTGAAAGTATTTCGGCACTGTACTTTTGTAAATTGGAAGGCCATTAGCAAATTGGTTATGACCTACCAAGCAAGTCTTACATACATGTACATTTGTAGTACATTGAGCCGTTACGTTAATGACTTTTACACATATACTGTAGATTGCAGACCAAACCAGAAGGAAATGACAAAGTTCATTCAGGAAATTCTTGACTTGACTTCTGAGTTTTGACACAAAAGGATTGTAACGCTTGAACAAACAAAAGCTTCCACTACTACAGCAATACTGTACAATAAAGGCCTTTTCTGTACATTTTCATGTAATAAAAAGCTGAGGAATACAAATTTATTCCTCAAGATAGTTTAAACTAATGAGAATTCTCTTACATGAATTACGAATTGTGGAAATGAAAGAAGTGTAAAGAGAGAGCGAGAGAGAAAGAGAGAGAGAGAGAGAGAGAGATGTAAAATGAACTTTGCAATAACCCAATAAGATCAGACTATTTTGACAGATCATTCTCTACTGAAGGATAGTACACTTGAAATCATTTGTGCTGGCTCTCAGTGTTGAATTTGATTAGGATTATTAAAATAAATGTCCATAAATATTGCAGCAACTTCCATAAAGGTGATATACAAATTTAGATATTAAGTACATGTACTAGATATTTGTAGATAAAGTGTAAATGTAGGCCTATTCAATCTATTTTTATTGCAAGTATTCCCAACGGGGAATGCTGATGCCCAAGCAATTTTCTCAGAGGCTCCAAACACATCACAACTTGTGCAGAACTAGTCACAGATTGAACTGTGCGCGTCATTATCATTCCAGCCCGTTGACAGACAGATGTGAATTTTGACACCAGTTTTATTGGTGTTGGCCAGGGCAATAGTGCACGGAACAATGAACTTAGGTCCAGTCCCTATGGCGTACCTTGATCTTTTGAGAGTAACTTTCCTCCAGTGGTGTCTGTGTTTGTATTGACTATTGAGGTACCCGAGGTGTTGTGGTTTTACAACCCAATTGTTAAATTCAAAACCATTGTGTTACAAGTTGAATTCATTCATAATAAATAGTGATGATTTCCTTTTTGGGTGCCTATGTCTGTTTGCAATTTATTCAAATTACTTTATCTAATTCTAAATGTAGCTGTGTATGTGAAAATCATTTTTCTGTGCACTTTATTCACATTTCAACAAACAGGAATATAATCAGGTATAAATTATATGGAAATGTGCGCGTCATACTTTTGTTGTTGTCCAACTACTCTCCCTTTAAAACTGTTCCGTTTTAGTTGTATATTGCAAGAAGCAATCATTCTACTCACGGTCGATGGATTTTAACAGAATAGATCATGATTGAAAGCAAGCTAGAAATGATTATTAGTCATCATTTCAAAATAAAGAGGAGAGGGAAAGAGAAAGAGAGAGAGCGAGCGATGATGAATAAGGAGATTCCTCCAAATTCAATCTATTATGACATCTCAATGCATCCTTTATGTCTGAGCAATTTCAGGTTAGAGCTTGATCAAGATGGAGCCAAGAAGAAATTTGATTGAAATTCTCCATCTTCTCATCCCATCTATGAATCATCCACTCATGAAGGTGCAGAACCATCAGTACTCTCACCTCCCCTTGTCCTCCCATCATCTGATCATAATGTAAAGGGTCTACAGGTACATTTTAAAGATGGCACAGTGTGAAATTTGTTCAACTGTTGTTGGCTGCAAGTTTTAAAAAAAATCTTGAGTACACCAAGGATAATATAAAATGGTCTACTTTTTTTTGTAAACATAAAGAAGAAAAAACATTTAGTTCTCTCTAATCTCTATCCATAATTTATCCAAAAGGATATACTGTATTGTAAACAAATTAATTTTATGTACCGGTAAACACAAAAGTACAGTTGTCTGGAAGTTGTTGCATACATGTTTGATGGTAAAATAATTCAGCCTTTTCTTGTTCAATATGATGTGTATGTTTTCCTTCGCAACATTAGACAACACAAGACAACCACATTAAAATACATAAAGTAGATTCACGCTTCCATTGCAATTTACTGACTGGCAGCTATCAATTCATTTCACGCGAAGATATCCGTCTAATCTATACAGCCCCTCTATAGCAATGGTTAATAAAGGTCTTAAATGAGGAAGTTATCTATCTCCTCTCCATTGTGACTCATCCTCTGTTGAGGCAGCTACGTCATAAATGTCATTTAGGTTCTAGACTGCACCCAATGACTGGCCCAGATGACTATTTGATGATGAGCTTTCCTTCATTTTCTCCTCATTTTGAAAAGTTGGCTCAGAAATTTCCGTTTCACACTTTTACAATTTACCTTTATAATGTGTCTAATTATGTACTACATTGTAGCTCCCTTCGAAATGAAGGACTTACTGCTTGTGAAATACTTTTAGTCATGTTATCAGTCGACCCTCATAATATTTGTGTGAGGGGGGGGGGGTGGGGGGGGAGGAGCCTTCAACTTTTCGATAAATATCAAAAATGTTCTAAAGATGAAATACGGGGGTTCATTTGAAGGCTACATGTACAATGGTGAAGTGCTACTTAATTAGCTTTGGGTGCAAAAGCCTTTTTAGCCCCCTTGCATCTTGAGGGCTACTCTTGATTATTTTTCCTCCAATTCAAAATAAAAACCAGGAATCCAGTAACGCCCCACCACTCTCCATCTCCCCTTATCCTGGTAAAACCCCTTCATCCCTTCCCATTAAAGAGAGACTTCCAGCTCAAGTCTAGCATGGAAGAATATCTTCTATAAGGAGGAAGGAATAGATGTCAGTAGCTTCCACCTCTATGATTCATATGCCATCAACCCCAAGACCGGTGGATTGGTCACCTTCTATCCTATCAGATCATTGCCTGTCATCACATGTAATTACCTTCTCTGTGAGTAAAGTTACCCTCATCCTCATACTACCTACAGACAGGATGCATGTACATCCCCATTACATCCCCATTCTCCCATTTGGGAAAATATTCTATTCTGTTGTACCGGTATCTGATTGTGCAGTCTTTAGAATCTTTGAGGTGTACAGTACATCTTTTGCATGCTAAACTGTCATATAGTTGTAGAAAAGATTGGAGCGGGGAAAAGAAATTTGTGCTTTTAACAATAATTTGCTATGTATACAGTACATGTAGTTCAGTATAGAACACAGGGAAACATGTCCCAGTATACTGTACGGAGCTATCATTTTTTCTTAGGTATTTAAATACTGTATGTAGCATTCACCTGCCATTTCAGGTTACCCATTCAATGCTTTCATTAGTAATCCCATCTACTTCACTTCTTTTCATCCCCAAGCTGTGCTTCTCACACTTCCGTGAATGCATACACCGGTATTCTCATGATGGCCAGCTTTCATGACCATCTCATCAACCCCAAGCTGAGGTGCACTGTAACTAGGGGCCCTTTCACATGAGAGATTAGAGAAAAAAATTGTGTTATGTCTAGAGAAACATGTGAATGATAACTGATGTATTAATGAAAGTTGTGGGGTTGTGTATAATTCTGCAGGTCTATCACATTTGTATTGTGAGCTGACATTGATTCTCAAATTATTGAATATGATTTAAATTATTAAGGTGCATTTTCCTTGGGCATCAAATTCAACAGGTTAGTATAGTTCCTGTGCAGTGTATAAAATAATGCCCCAATATATTTCTCTGGGAGATATTTTGCCATATGACATTACCAGTGAAACAT